AGAAATAGAAAACATCATATTCATCATGCAAATGCTAAATCACTTTTTGATCTAATTGATTGGAGTTTGGATGAACACGATCCTTTACTTACATGTTTATTGTCAAAGGATGAAATTTTAAAATACAATGATAATTCGATGTGTTCAAGTAGTCACAAGAGCTTCTCAATCGGTGTTTGGAAAAGACAGAGGAGATGGGTTCATCAGAGCAAGATTAGCACATCGAGAAATCATGTCCATAAACCAATTAAAAAAAGATCTATTTAAATTAATTTAAGCAATATGAATTTTTTCGTTGTTTTGCTTTGGATTTTATTTATGATCTCAATAAATAATTTGAGTTTAAAATATATTGTATCTTTTAGATAACATTTTATTTAAGAACAATAAATTTTTAATACTTCAGAAAAGTTTTTACTTATTGTAAGAACCATCTTATTTATTATCTATAAAGCAAATAAATTTTTTTCCTCTTCTAATATCCTAAAGCAAACACGGTTTATTTATGAATACTTTTTTGTATGACTTTATAAACAGTAGCACCCAAAGTTATGTTTTATTTTAATGTCTATATTATGCCTTGTTATTTTTTGATGATTGCATTGCCATAGGCTTATGAAAAAACGGCAGAAAAGTGCTAACTTGATGGGTTTTTGTAAGACTGACATTTTTTAAACGCCCTACGCCCACAAAAGATGAACTTTATAAAAAAATATATATATATTCACGTCTTTTTTAATATCCTAACATATAAAAAAATATTGCGCACAATCCCATTTCTAACATTTATATATAGGTATTTTTTTGTAAAATCCATAATGGTAGACAACTTTTCATACGTCTACCGTGTTTGTATAGCATTAAGAAAAGTAGCACCAAATATTATGTCTTACTTTCATGTCTATGTTATGTCTGATTGTTTTTTAATAATTGCCTTACCTTTGGTTAATATAAAACAGGCCGAAAAATCTCAATATGATGAGTTTTTCGTAAAACTGGCATTTTTCAAACGCCCTGCGCTCACACTAGATAAACTTTTTACAAAGAAAAAAAGTTATAAACATCTCTTCTAATATCCTAATACATAAAAAAATATTGCGCGGGCTCCCATATCCAAAATTTTAAAAGTACGACTCACCCTAATGTGCATTCCACTGCCTCTACGGCTAAACATCAATATATCAGTCAATATATGTTTACTCTGTTACGACGCTGGCTTATCAAAAAGTCAATATTTATTTAATTACTGTGCCTATTTCTTATAAACTGGTAAATAAATACATCATGTTTCTAATATTAAGGTATTCCTTAATGTGCGTAGAAAATGTTACGCGCATTTAAGTTATTTATTAACTAAATTAATAAATTATTATTTTTTATTATTTACTTATACACCATACAATATTGTAATTTAATAAGTTAAGGAAGTTTATAAGGAATAAATTTGATTTTAAGTAATTTTTTTTAAGTAATTAACGCGCTTTCAATTCTATCTCAAAATTCTTTGAGAAAGTATTGGGGCGCTATGAGTTACGGTAATGTATTAGGCCGGGTAAATAAAAATGAGCAATAGCTTTTACTCAGTATCTGGTTTGCTTTATGTGAATAAAAACTTTAGCAATTTTGTTTGGATTTTAAAAGCAATCGGTCATTTTTGTTCATCTAGCCTATTGAGTTATAACGCATATTTGTCACACTCATGTAAGTGTTATTTGGTAGTTTTTTTTCATTTACCTAATAAAATATAAAAGTTAGGATGTAAGTTGATCCAACAAATAATCCATAACACATTTAAGTCTGATCCTAAATGATCTTTTTTTTCTTCCGTGAACACTTTAGCGAAAGGACGTGTTTATTATTGAATTTAAAAATTGCTAATAAAAATATTACAATTGCTCAATTAAAAGAAATTATGGATATTCACGAAAGAAAAATAATGAAGATATTTAGCGACAGGATTGATAAACTAGAAAGCGAAAATATTAGTTATGCAGGAAGAAAATAAAAGTTTAAAAAATTGAGTAAGTGACATGAAAAAAAGTGTTGAATTTGTCAGTGACAAATATGAAAGTTTACTATCGGAAATATATGTTTCTAAAAAAACAGTAATGTCATATCAAATGAACGATGCAAAAATAAATTTAGGAAATGATAACGTTATTAAAGATAAGTTGGCTGAACTTGAAGATAGGAGTCGCTGAAATAATTTGAGATTTAATGGTATAGAAGAAAAGGAAATTGAAACCTGGCAAGAAGCTGAAGGTAAAATAAAAGAACTTTTAAAAGATAAATTGTAACTTAATGTTAATATTGAAATTGAAAGAGCTCATAGAGTTGAAAAAAAGGAGTTGGATGATAAAAGGAAAAATAGAACTATTGTTGTAATATTTTTAAGCTTTAAAGACAAGAACGCGATTTTGGAAATTTTTTTTTTCATTTCATAGTTATAAAATTATTTAATTTTTAAATTCTAAAATGGATTCAAATCAACAAAATAGTTTCATTTAACTTTTTTCAAACTAATGATTTTTTACTTGATAATGAATCCGATCCTGACATGAATTATTTTAGTGAAGCAGGTGCTCTGCAAAACTGCTCTTATTTTTATAACAATGAATTGAAAGGTTTTCTTAAAGGGGATTTTCTTAATGTTATTCATTTTAATATAAGAAGCTTAAAATTTTTTTTAAAACTTTTCATAGTAATATAGAAGAAACTTCTAATATTTTTAACATAATATGCATTACAGAGACATGGTGCTGCTCTGGCAATGTTAAAAATTCAAATCTCCATCTTTCAGGTTTTAATTTAATTTCTTTAGCGCGTAAAAATAAAAAGCAAGGTGGTGGTGTTATTTTTTACGTAAATTAATGCTTGCGGTTTATTAATAAGCCCAACCTAAGTATTTCTGATGGCGATAGAGAGGTTTTAAGTATTGAAATTCCAACTAAAAATACCAAATTATAATTTTAAGATGTTGTTATCGCCCACCAAATGGCGTAGTTGAGAATTTTAATAATGGTATAATTAAAAAAAGTATCCACGAAAAGAAATTAAACTACATAATTGGTGATTTTAATTTAAATTGCTTTGAATACCATACTAATAATAACATTAAAAAATTTTACAATAGCATTTTTGAAATTGGAGCGATACCGTTAATAAATAAGCCTACCAAAATATCATCAACATCATCATCTATATTAGATAAAATAATTACAAGTGACGTTTTTTACTTATCTTTAAAAAAAGGTATTAAAAGTGACATCTCTGATCACTTTCTTATTTTTTTCTCCATAAACACAGACATTAAAACAAATTCTACACCAAAATAATACTTTTATTAACGTTTTTTTACGGAAGCGAATTGCATTGCTTTTAAGGAACAATTATCTTTATTTTATTGGAAACACATAGATTCTAATGATGCTAATTTAGCCTATAATTCATTTTTAAAAACATTTTTTGAAATTTATGATATTAGTTTTCCTCAACATAAAACACTGAAAAAAAATAAAGATTTCACGTCACCATGGATTACAAAAGATCTCAGAAAAAGTTCTAAAGTTAAGCAAAAGTCGTATATAAAGTTTTTAAAACCGAGAACATTAGAAAGTAAGACGATTTATTAGAATTGCGCTAAAAAATTTGAAATCCAAAGAAAAAATTTAAAAAAAAGATACTATATAAGTTTACTAGAAAAGTATAAAGAGAATTCAAAGCAAACATGGCAAATTAGAAGGTAAAAAACAGGCAGTAAGAAATTGATAGCTAGCTCTCTACCTAAAGTTATTAAAATTGATAATAAAATATTTTATGATCCGAGAGTGGTAGCAAATAAAATGAATGAATTCTTTACTTCAGTTGGACCAAATTTAGCAAAGAAAATTTCTAATATAAATAAAATAATAAACAGATGTAGTTTTCCTTTAGTATCTTGTCTAAATTCTTTTGAATAGTCTTTTGATGAATTTGATAGAGCTTTTAAAATGCTAAAGCAAAATAAAGCAGTCGGTCCTGATGATATCAATGGAAACATTGTTATTTATTCCTATCTTATCATAAAAAACATCCTTTTTAAAATATTTAAATGTTTAATTCAACAAGGAATTTTTCCTGATGAATTAAAAATAGCTAGAGTTTCACCAATATTTAAAGGTGGAGACTTACTTAATGTTAGTAATTACCGTCCAATATCTGTTCTCTCTGTTTTCTCAAAAATCATAGAGAGAATTCTTTATAATAAAATTTTGAACCATCTTTCTTAAAATATTATCCTATACAAAAATCAATATGGATATAAAAAAAATAACTCCACTGAACACGCTATACTTCAAATAACACAATATATTACTGAATCATTTGAAAACTCCAAGTATTCTTTAGGCATTTTTATTTACTTGTCTAAAGCCTTCGATACGATTGATCATAAAGTTCTATTTAAAAAACTTAAATATTTTGGAATCTCTGGCAATGTTTTAGAGCTTTTAAAAAGTTATTTAAGCAATAGAAAGCAATTTGTTCACTATGACGTATCATCGAAATCAAAATTGTTAGATATAACATGTGGAGTTCCCCAAGGGAACTCCACATGTTATATCTAACAATTTTGATTTATATATTAATACTCTTATGAAATTTTTTTATCGCAATTTATATATATGAAATCTTTTTTCTTAACTTATATATATATACATATATATATATATATATATATATATATATATATATATATATATATATATATATATATATATATATATATATATATATATATATATATATATATATATATATAATATATATATATATATATATATATATATATATATATATATATATATATATATATATATATATATATATATATATATATATATAACTATATATATTTGTTTGCTTTTATAGAATTAAATGTGTAAAAAATTATATTTTTATTTAAGTGTAAATATTTATATATGAATTATTAGAGAATTATTTTTTATTTAAAATCTGTTTAGGCAGTTCTCGATGACAAGATCTTATGATCTTCTGCAAATATCTGCGTTCTTCTTATTTTAACGCTAACAAAGCTTGTAACTTTTACTATATGTATTTTATGAATCTTATTCATTCTTATATTGTAAAACTTAGTTTGAATAAATAAAAAGAACAAAAAGAAAAAAAAAAAATCAAAAGTACCTTTTCATTGATAATCTTAATACAGTGGTTTTCTTCTAAATTACAACGGTATTTAAAAGCTTCTATGTTGTTATTAACATCTTTTGAGCCTGTGGCTGTAGAAGGGACAATAGTCACAGTAATAGTCAACAATGCGTAAAAAAAAATAGTATTCATTTTTTTTTTTTTTTAACTTTTTATGTTTTATCTAAAAATACTCAATAAGAGACTTTCAAAATAATGTAATAAGAAAACATAATCATAAAACATATCACTAACATAAAGAATTTTTTTTTCTTTGCACAACCAACAAGTTTATATAAAGCAAAGAGTTACATGAAATTTAAAAAATATTCAGCTCGAAACTCACTTTACTCGAAACTCGCGTTAAAACATTATTCGAAACTATTTGATATGCTTTAATGCGTAAGTAATAAAATAAAAGTTGAAATATCATCAGAAAAATATTTTTATAATTTCTGCAAAGTTTCTTTATTGAAATACTATTTTTTTAATATCTAATAAATGTTTTTTTAATCTAATAAATGTTATTTAAGATGTTTATTGGGTACTTTGCGTTTATGGCATTTTGTTGTGGATGAAATTTAGGGTGCATTTTTTATTATTTTTGTGCATTAAAGCATAACGATTAGTTTCGATTGATGTTTAACGCAAGTTTTTACTAAAGTAAGTTTAGAGCCTAATATATTAAAATTTTATGTAACTCTTTCCTATTTATATACATATTGGTTCTAAAGAAAAAGTTTATGATATGTTTTATGGTTATACCTTCTTGGCTAGATTTAAAAATTATTTTTAAAGTCTCTTATTTATAATTTTTAGATACTAACACAAAAGAAGAAAAGAAAAGGAAATGAAAAGCAATTTTATATATATATATATATATATATATATATATATATATATATATATATATATATATATATATATATATATATATATATATATATATATATATATATATATATATATATATATATATATATATATATATATATATATATAATATATATATAATATATATGTATATTTATATATATATATATATATATATATATATATATATATATATATATATATATATATATATATATATTTATATATATATATATATATATATATATATAATTGCTTTTCATTTCCTTTTCTTCTTTTGTGTTAGTATCTAAAAATAATAAATAAGAGACTTTAAAAATAAATTTTAGTTTCGATTAGTTTCGATTGATGTTTAACGCGAGTTTTTACTAAAGTAAGTTTCGAGCTTAAAATATTAAAAATTTTATGTAACTCTTTCCTTTTTATATACATATTGGTTCTAAAGAAAAAGTTTATGATATGTTTTATGGTTATACTTTCTTGGCTAGATTTAAAAATTATTTTTAAAGTCTCCTATTTAATATTTTTAGATACTAACACAAAAGAAGAAAAGAAAAGGAAATGAAATGCAATTTTATATATATATATATATATATATATATATATATATATATATATATATATATATATATATATATATATATATATATATATATATATATATATATATATATATATACGTATATATATATATATATATATATATATATATATATATATGTATACGTATATATATATATATATATATATATATATATATATATATATATATATATATATATATATATATATTTATATGTATATATATATATATATATATATATATATATATATATATATATAAGTTTTTTTTTTTTTTTTTTTCAATTTTTGTCAAGCAACCATTTACAATTAAAGATAATTTCCGTAAAATATTTAGAAATATTAAATACAAGTACATTTCATTATTTATAATAGACCGGAGAACCTGAAGAAGATAAAGTCTTTTCATCAGTAACCTTTGATAATAAAAATTGGAAATAATCGTGTATTGTTAGAAAAAGTCATGTAAAGAATCGTGATTGGCAATAAGTTCGATTATGTTCTTTTTAAATTTTTGAGAGGTATTGGCTTCATTACATTTACCCCTCAAACTTGTAAAATGGTTCCATAGCATTGTGCCACGATAGGAAATGGCAAAGCTCGTAAGTTTTGATGAACGGAAAGGTTTTTTAAATCTTCCGGTAGATCGCGTGTTGTATCGGTTTAATGTTTTACGGAAAATATTTTCGAAAACCTTCGGCGTTTTTTTTGACTGATGTTTATACATAAATTGTGTAATTTTGAAAATATTCTCATGCTTTTTAGAAGAGGTTTAGCATTTGTGAAGCGATTTTGAAAATGAATAATGCGTGCTGCATGATTCTGTTGTTTAAGGAGACAGTCGGGTTTAGATTTATTTGTACTACCCCAAACAATACAGTTTAAATTGAAGATTTATTGATTCATTAATATTAATGTATTAGCGATTGGGGTTATGGTTTGACACAAGGCAATATAATCTCTATTGCTCAACACTAGTTAAAAAACACAAAACCAAAAGCATTTATTTTATAATAGCTATTTGGTAATGTACCTAAACATAAAAGTATTAATTTTATAGGTTAAGCATAATTACTTACACCACAAACGTCTATATGAAAGAACTAAAAAAATTGCCAGAACTACATACTCCAAAAACAAGCTGTTTGAACTAAAAGGTAACTGCAAAAAAACGTAGGATGCTATTAAAGAGATTCTTGGAAAACAAAAAATACACAACAAAGCCTTACCAAGCATAATTACTGTAGACGGCACGCATTAATATTTTAGTTTTTTTAATAAAATCTGATGGTTAACGGTGTCAAATGCTTTTGACAAGTCTAGGAATATACCTAAGGTGAACTTGTTATGAGAAGATGCTTCACTGATAACTTCAACAAGTTGCATAAGTGCATGTTCCGTAGAGTAATTTGATCGAAAACCATATTGGTTCCAATAAAGAAGATTGTTATTATACAAAAATGCAAATATCCTATTATACATGATACGTTCGAGGATTTTTGAAAATACAGGTAATACCGATATAGGCCGATAATTTTTGTAAATCTTTTTGTAAAATAAACTGTATTACTAGGTATCTCATCTAATCCTGGTGCTTTTTTTTTTTTTTTTTGAGCCAAAAGCTGCCTCAAATTTGTCATAATTTATTTCTTAATCATGTATTATAACGTTATTTGTTGGTTTATAAGTTTTCAAAAAATTTAGATATTATTTTTTTCGGTGGGTATTAATTTTTCGACAATGTTCGGACCAATACTTATTAAATATTTATTGAATATATCCGAGATGAGTTTTGGACAAAATAAACCGTTGTTTTCAATAAAAATTTGTTTAGGTAGTGATGTTAAATTTAGTTTTTCTTTTCCTATTATTACATTAAAGATGGAATATCTTTTTTTGATATCAAAGGGATGGGGGGGGGAGTTAATGCCTCCTTCGCCCCTGTTCCTACACCAAAGGTTCTGCAGCATTATTTTTTTTTTTAATTTTGAATATACATAGACAAGCACATACATACCCATACTACCCACGGAAGTACACCATTATATATATATATATATATATATATATATATATATATATATATATATATATATATATATATATATATATATATATATATATATATATATATATATATATATATATATATATATATATATATATATATATATATATATATATATATATATATATATATATATATATATATAATACATATATATATATATATATATATATATATATATATATATATATATATATATATATATATATATATATATATATATATATATATATATATATATATATCCTTAAAGTGTAGTCGAAAGAGACTTTTATGGTAAAAAAAAGTCTCTTTCGACTACAATTTTTATTACCTCGTCTCTTAAGCTGTATTTAATTGTCATCGTAATCTCAAAGCAATTAAATTAATGCGGAAGTAAAATAACTTTTATTGATTTTTAAAAAAACCACAATAATAATGACTAAAAAGTTATTTTAAATTAGTGGTGTTTTTGTTTCAGTTTTATTAAAAAACATTTTTAAAAAATGTTTAAGTGTTGCTACATCGACTATCTTATAGCTGCTCCTGCTACAAGGGAGTGTTGCTACATCGACTATCTTAATGCCTGACTCGCTTCGGAGTGCTGCTACATCGACTGACAAATAGCCTGACTTGCAAGGGAGTGCTGCTACATCAACTGACAAATAGACTGACTCGCAAGGAAGTGCTGCTACATCGACAGAGGGTTTGGTTTCGGCAGGCAGTCTATCATTATATATATATATATATATATATATATATATATATATATATATATATATATATATATATATATATATATATATATATATATATAGATATATATATATATATATATATATATATATATATATATATATATATATATATATATATATATAGATATATATATATATATCTATATATATATATATATATATATATATATATATATATATATATATATATATATATATATATATATATATATATATATATATATATATATATATACGTTTAAACAATTTAAAATGTATTCTACAAAAAGAGTGCTCAATGTTCTTAAAAGAACAGAGCAATTACAAATTAGTAAAAAATCACTTAGCAAAATTTTTTCTCACTTAACACTGTGTTTCATCAAAAAAGCATTTCTGATGAGTCTTTATTGATGAAAGACAGTGTTAAATAATAACAAATTTTGATAAGTGATTTTCTTCTAATTTATTTATATATGTATACGTATATAAATATATATATATATATATATATATATATATATATATATATATATATATATATATACATAAATATATATATATATATATATATATATATATATATATATATATATATATATATATATATATATATATATATATATATATATATGTATATATATATATATATATATATATATATATATATATATATATATATATATATATATATATATATATATATATATATATATATATATATATATATATAGAATTATATTCAAGTTAAAAAGATAATATAAGACTCAATTAAATGACAATTATAGCAAATTTTTTATGAATTTAATTCTCCAAGTTATGCCTTTTAAATATATTTTATTAAATATTAAACTACTAAACTTAATCTTTTAATAATCATAAATTTATTAAACTTAATATTGGGAATAATACTTTTTCCTGTCAAACTAAAAGTTTGAGTTGCACCAGTTTACAGTTTATTTATATGTAAAC